TGGTGGTGATGGTGCTGGTGGTGCTGGTGGTGGTGTCGGTGGTGGTGTTGGTGGTGGTTGTCGTTGTTGTTGCTGCTGCCCTTGCCTTTGCCGTTGCTGTTGCTGCCTTTTTTTGTTGTTGTCCCTGTTGCTGCTTGCAGTGGCGGCAGGGGTGAGAATGGTTGTTGGAGATGGTGTCGACGATGCTGATGCTGCTGTCACTTTTCTGACAATCATGGATGACACATCTTTTCCGTCTTTTTTTGCAGTGTCGGGCCGCTCAGCAGCTCAAGACATACAGCTTGAACAGTCCTCAGAAATTTGATCCGTGAGCCAAAGCTGCTAGGGTTCGCTCTTCAGGCTGCCCAGGCATGGAGGGCGGCGAGCTCTCAGTGGCGGCCTCGCTGGGATCCGGCAGCATTGCCTTTTTTGTGAGACTTCCTGCACGTCGATCATTGAGATGCTCCTGAACATCCTCGCCAGTTTCAGAACTATGAATCATGACCTTCGTGTTGGGACTAGGACCGACTAGGAACGAGAGTCTCGTGGGGTACGGTCTTCGTTGTGGTGCCGAGGTGGCGCGATCCGACAACCTTGGAGCCCGCTATGGCCGCTTGGCAGAACGAGAGGGGAAGGGCCCCGTAATTAAACTGCCCTCAGTTTCACCTCCCTGTGACCCAGAAAAGCGGGCCAAAGACAAGAGCCTCTCCGAGAAGGAGCGCGAGGCAGGGGCCGGTGCCGCTGACGCGCCGTGTGGGGGGCGGATCATGGGTGTGTCTCTGCCTCGACACTGACGCGCGCCTGTGGCGGAGGCGGCCTTGTACTTCAGCTATGCCGAGAAGCACATGCACGAGGAGCAGGCAGGGCCCATGTGGGGCTGGAGCTCATCGAGGCTCTGTGCTGAGACCGCTTTTCTAGGCCGAGGAAGCCTTGAAGCACACGGAGGAGGCACGGTGGATGTGTGTTCTGGGTTCTAGCCTCCAAGGCCTTCATCCACTTGAGCTGTAGGGTGAAATTTTCGGTTTCAGATCCTCGGGGTTCCAGGCGTCTCATGAGTCCTGCTTTTCTTTCTGCTGTTGCCGCCCGTATTGTTAGTGACTGGACTGCTGGTGGTCTTGTTGTGGTGGTGCTGGCGACGGCGGCGGCGGCGGTGGTGGTTGTTGTTGCTGCTGCTATGGTCCTGACCAGCCGTTTGATGATCGTGGTCAATGTCGTTGTCGTCGATGTCGTCAATGTCGTCGATGTCGCAGTCTTGATTGTTGCTGTGTCGTGTGACTTGTGTACACAGACTTGGTAGCGAGACTCTCAGGAGAATTAGCTTCTTGCATGCTCAAAATCGTATCCCTTTGAATGCTGGTCATATCTGTGCGAGCTTTATCAACATCACTCTCATCATCCTCGGTCGATGGTGTCTTGGTCATACCCGATGTCATGGTGGTAGTGAGCACGATTCCGATGATGATGATGATGATGATGATGATCATCATCATCATCATCGCCATTGCTTCTGTTATTGGCACATTGTCGATGTTCTTTGAAGATGCCCAGGTGATAGTCATAGTCATTCTTGCTCCTGTCACCAAAAAGCCATTCCGCAAGACAGCAGGCCCTCGAACGCTTCCGGCAGCAGCGGGCCTAGGTGGGTTGTTGAGGTCTTGTCGGATTGAAAAGCTCGGGCGCCCGTGTCGGCATGACTGCTAGCTTCTGAAGCAATCCAACCCGCAGAAGCGGTGTGCACACTGTCCCGTGACTCCCATGTCCTGCTTGATCGTAGTTTTTCTGACGGATCGGTGCCGTCGTGAATCATTTCCGACAAGTGTGTGTATGATACGGTAGTGATACGCGTGAGTCGCACGAAGCTGATTACCCAGGCTGGGTGATGAGACAGGCATCGCGGACAGCAATCGCCTCCTGACAGCACAGCTTCTCTTGTGGCTTTGGGCTGCCTTGTGTCAGAATAGGCATGATTGTCTTGGTGCTGCCCTGTGGAGAAGGCCATTTTGCGAAGCGTCACGTGAACAGCTTCGCTTCTAACGACACCTTGACATCTCGTCTTGGGAAGGTTTGCAGGAAGAAATATCATCGTCTGATACCACTTTACCTTGACTTGCATATTTTGTCTCATCGTTGCTGAATCCGCCGCTTCAGTTTCACCTCTGAGCTGTGATTTTGTGAGATTTCGCTTCTTAGAGAGTCGTGCCGAGGCATCAAGATCCACGTGCTCTGCTTCAAGGCGCATTGAGCATTTTGTGGCACGGCACTGCAGTGAGTGATTGGAAAATGTGGCTGTGGGCGTCTCAGGACCGTCGAAAGGAAGCCAACCAGGTAGCGAAGGATGAACTTTCCAGAATTCGCTCGCAGAAGGCCTGGAAGTACGCTTGGGCCAGTGCCACACATAGCGCAGAAGTGCAAGTGCGAGAGGACCGACAAGGGGAGAGCAAGATGCTGCCAGTCTCTCGGAGTGGCGGTGCACGTCTCGAGCAGGGGGGATAGCCTAGCCTACCAAGGCTTTCCTTGGCGGAGATCAACACCGAACGCCGGGCGCCCTGATATGATAGAGAGCATGCAGGTACCTTGCGCGAGCCCAGGCCGGGGCTACAAGAACCGCCAGGAAGCGCGGCTCTGGGCCAACGAGGACCCGCACCAAAACTTATTTCAGACGGCGTTGCATAATTCAAGCCGCCTTGCCTTGCCTGAACAGGCCTTGGAGCTCTTCCGAAAGAACGGCGACAAGAAGTCCTGGGCTCAGCCGGCAGAGGATTCCCAAACCGATCTTCTTTTCCGTACAGGATGGAGGCGTACACTTTGATCTGCTTGCTGAACATCAACATGCCAAGGCCTCAGCCGAAAGTCTCGTCTACCACAACAACAGCTGTAGCAGCAACAGCACCACCACCACCACCACCACCACCACCACTGCCGCCGTCGCCGCTACCGCCGCCGCTGCCTCCGCCGCTGCCGCCACCGCCACCGCCAAGGTCACCACCTCTACCACCACCACCTCTACCACCACCATCTCCACCACCACCTCCACCACCACCTCCACCTGCTGCTGCTGCTGCTGCTGCTGCTGCTGCTGCTCTTGCTGCGGCATCAACAATTATTTTTTTGCTAGTGCCGTGTGCGCTGTGGTCTGGCGCACTTTGGCGCTTGCCCGGAAGAAAGAGAGCTGAGCTTTCGCTTGATGCCTATGTACTGGTGGTGGGGGAACCTAGCGGTGTGGTC